TGGTATATTTTCAAAACTGGCTTAATCATTATTCTCTATCCTTTTATTGAATTTAATTTATTTTATTATTTGAAAAACATTTTTAACAGTTAAGGTTCATATTTACTTCTTCAAATTCACGAAAAAATGGGAAAACTCAAAAGATGCATCATACACCTATACTTTTGGCAGATAACAAGTTTATTTTAACCAACTATGTGAAAATGAACAAAAATATGAACCAAAACAGAATTTAAAATAATTAATGCTCCAGAAAGACAAAACTGCAACACTATTTTCGACGCGCGCTTCAGGAGACGATGTATGTTTCTACTTCTACAAAACACTCCTGAAGACGACAACGGTGTTGGTGAAACTCAAGTCGAAAATAGTGTTGCAGTTCTGGTATTTGGGAATTACACTTTATTACACTACTGAGATTATGAAAAAGTATCCTAATTATCAGATGAAGCATTATTTATGAAATCTTATTGGAATCCCAGGAATAAAACTATGACAAATTGATTAGTATTTCATCTCAAATGGCAAACAAAATTAAAATGAAATTTCATTTTACTCTTGACAAATATTGTAATCTGCTAGTTAAATAAAATTACTAACTGAAAATTCAAAACGGTAAATCATGATTGATATTGAAACATAATAGACAACCTTCTACTACTTGAAAACTCATTTTGTAAGGATTATATAGATAATTAAAATTTGCGATAATAATGCACATTTCGGTGATAAGATTTGATATGAAAATATTGGAGTTTATGAGAGATATTTTTAAATTGCGAGGGTATATTTCAAAAGTAGAAAGCCAAAACATCTCTTTCCCAGAGATATATGATTTGATAACAATTTCTAATTTGTTTTGATGGAATTCATTATGAGTTGATAATTCAATGTTCTGAATGTTTTGATTATGATCAACAGTTTGCACTGGTAAAATCAATACACAAAGGAATCATTAGTTTCAAATTAAATCGATGGTGTTAGAAAAAAAATTGTGAGCCGTCACAGGACGCCTGGCAGACGTGAAACTTCAATAATAAAAAAAAAATAATATGGCTTTAATATACTAGTAAACTCAAGAATCTTAGCTAGTTATTGAAATATATTACTGAAGATCTTAAATTATAAATAACAATAATAAATGTTTCAATATAAACTACACCATTATTAGAACATTGATTAATTTGAATTAATTTTTTGATGTTCCTGTTAATGACAAATAAAAAAAACATTCGTGACCTACTCGCTATCAGCTGATTTTGAAATACAATTTTGTGAGTCTTCAAGCAAGTGTTTTAGTGCATTGATTTTTATAAGAAAGGAATTAAAATTAATTAACAATTAATTCAAAAATATTATATGTTATGAAAATTGTGTAAATTTCAATAATAATAATAATAATTTTTCATTATTTTCTTGTTAAAAAGTACATTGTTATACGTACAGTGACAAGGAAAACATCTGAGGGTAGGACACGTTACAGAGTATAATGTTTGTAGTAATCAATAATCTAAAAATATGATACCTATAGGTATATACATATAATTATTTGTTTGGCTCAGATTATGTAGAAAAAATAACTATAAATAAATAAAAGTTAATTTTATCACATAATTGTGATATTTTGTCATTAAAATATAAAAAAAACAGTTCAAAATTCGTCAAGTGTGTAGCAATTTTTTTCAATAAGTGCCTTTTTCAGTCTTGATTTAAAAATGTTAAGATTTGGTGATATTTTAATTAATTCCTCTAATTTATTAAACATTTTTGGTCCAAGATAAAGAAAAGTTTTCTGATAAAGAGTTGTTCTATGAATATTGGACATCAGTTTGTCTCTAGAACGAGTTGGATAATTATGTTGCTGGGAAGGTGTATTATGCTTGTTTCTATAAACGTATATACACAATTCTTATATATAGAGACCAGCAACAGTTAGTATCTTAAGAGGTTTAAAAGCATCTCTACATGATTCTCTCCAACCAATACCGGCAAAGATTCTTATTGCATTTTTTTGCAAAATAAATATTCTTTCAGCAGCAGATCCGGTACCCCAATTCAAAATTCCATATCTCAAGTGGCAGTTTATGGTCGCATAGTTTAAGCTCAGTAAAATCTCTTTACTACAAAAATTAGCCATGAATCTCAGAGCATAGCAGTTTTTTCTCCATTTAATACAGAGGGTCTCAATATGAGGAGTCCATGTGAGTTTGTAGTCCAAAGTGACGCCTAACATTTTTGTAGAAGTACAAGATTCAATTGACAGATCCCCATTTTCATGGATAACACAATGTTCGGGCCAGTTACTAATTCTGAACTTCATCATCACAGTTTTAGATGTATTGAGTGTTAAGTGATTTTTTTCTGCACATATGTTTACTTGTTTATGTACATCCTGGGTTCTATCCTGTAGGGTCGTTACATCAATTTCCTTCACTATGAGATTTGTTTCATCTGCATACGCTACTGTGTGAATAGTTGACAATCCTTGAAAATATTTCATCAGGTCATTTGCATATATCAAAAATAGTATAGGTCCAAGGATTGATCCCTGTGGGACACCCTGCCTAATGGTTGCCAACTGACTGAGAGTGTTTCCAACACTGACATGTTGCCCTCTATTTTCTAGATAGGATTTCATTAAATCTAGGGCAACTCCTCTTACACCATATCTTTCCAATTTCCCTAATAGCAGGTCATGATTAACGCAATCGAAAGCCAAGAGAGAGAAAGACTAAATGAACGCGAGTTTAATGCACAAATAAATACACAGTTTATTTATAAAATATAAAAATATAATTAACTTACTGATGCCTTGATATTTTATCATAGTGTGATTTGCTTTCTTTGCATGAGGCTGCTCACTTTCACTTTATAAATTATCACTGTCAGACATATTTTATTTTTAATTATTTAAAAAAATTCTTTATTGGGTAAAACACAGGTTATGTACACTGTAGTAAACACAACTGTATACACTATAGTTTCCGAGATCAGTGTGGCGAGAGAGATCGCGTAACGCCGAACCAGTGGGAAAAGAATCGCACAGTCGCTTGCGCATGATGACCCGTCGCCAGTGTATGAGTCGCCATGCCAGCAATCGATTTTACGTGCGGCTATAGATCTTTCACATCAAAAATAATAATTTCACAAGCAGTAACTGGTCAATATTTCATGGTACTACACCAAAATTTCATTTTGGTAGTTTTCCTTCTAAATGGTAGATATATGTTAAAAAAAATAAGGTGAATGTTCAAATTTCGCGGGCTACGTACATTCGATTACCGATTTTTTACGTTGGTAGACTCGTCTCGAACATATGTGTAAAAATGTTTAGTTTTTTGGTGATTTTACTCTGAGTCAGAAAAATGTTTACAAGTGGTACAGAAGGTCGAGAAGATGTGGATGACAACGCCCGCCCTAGACGCCCTAGCATATCAACAACCGATGAAAATGTTGAGAAAGCTAAGAAAATAGTTATGGAGAATCGTCGAATCACTATAAGAACCGTTACTGAGGATGTCGGCATCAGTTGGCTCATGCCATGCAATTTTTTCGAAAATTTTGGGCATGAAGCGGATGGCAGCGAAGTTCTTTACAAAATTGCGGATTTTTGTCAAAAAAAAAACCGTTGCATGAGCATCGCTCAGAAATTGTTGAATGACTTCGTCAACGGCGATCCAGATTTGCTTAAAAAGGTCATAACTGGTGACGAATCATGGGTATATGGTTATGACATCGAAATCAAAGACCAGTCGTCCCAATGCAACAGTCCAGGAGAGCCAACAGCAGAAAAGCTCCCAAGTTCGATCAAATATCAAAGTTTTGCTGTTTTTTTTTTCGATTACCATGGCGAAGTGCATCAGGTCAATAAGGAATATTATCTTGAAGGTGAAGAAATTGATATTGCGGAAAAACAATTCATGACTTTTGCATCACGATAATGCACTTGTTCACTCGTCGTTGCTTGTTCGTAAATTTTTTGCCAAAAACAAAACCGTAATTATGCCTCAGCCACCGTATTCACCAGATTTGGCAACCTGCGACTTTTTCCTGTTCCCAAGATTAAGAGACCCATTAAAGGACAGCGTTTTGCGACGATTGAGGAGATGAAAACCTTATCACTGAGAGAGGTCAAGGACATACCAAAAAGTGCATATCAGAACTGCTTCGAGGATTGAAAAAAACTCTGGCACAAGTGTTTTATATCTGAGGGGACAAAATAGAAATTGATGAATAAATAAATATTTTTTTTAGAAAAATTAAAATTCACTTAATTTTTTTAACAGAGCTCGGTGGTATTTATATCGGCGGAAGCCACCGAACACCCATCGACACCTCAGTTCAATCTAAGGAGTAGGCAGATTGAGACTTCAGTGAGAACTCATGACGAGACCAGGGAAGTAGGACGATTGAGGTCCCGGCGTCAAGTCACATCAAATTCTTGAAAATTGCTCCAAAATGGGAGCCGAAACGTCTAATACAAACTAAAGACGCGGTTTAACCCGAACTCAACGATACTGATGAAATTCCTGATCATTATTGCAGACAGAAATGAAATATGGAATAACTATTGAGCTATTTATCAGTTTTTACCACAGTTCTCAATTGAAATGAACAAAACCTTTTAATGGCTGAGAAAGGAGACTTTAACAGAATAATTTCTTTAGGAAAATACTGTCTGGTAAACTGAAAATATTCATCTTATGGAACCTTTTGAATAACAATATAATAACAATAATTATAAAATATAATTCCGGATCTCAACTGACATAAAAAGTACTATTCAATGGCTGATACAGCAGACTTTGAAGTATGGCTGTATAAAGATCTTGAAAAAGATTGAAACATTCTGACTCAGAAACTACCAAACCCTGTTTCTAAAAACTAGTAATGTACCCTGTTTCTAAAACTAGTAATTTTAAATGACCTATTAACTGAATGAATTTACTTTCTATGTTGTCGGCCTTTTTCATAACCTAAAAATCCAGAATTCAACTTACCATCTGTAAGGGTTGCACATCATGCTCATGAGACTGTGACGTTATTAATTCTTCAGAACGGCTTCTTGTTCTTTTCCTGGACATCGTGGTTCTTGTGTGGCTGTTCAATCTAGACTGAATATCTAAAAAAAAGGATCTTTCAATTTTTTGTGGAATAATGCAAAAAATCTAAATCAGGCCAAACAGAATAATAATAAGCAATGGCAATACAATAGCTATACTTGTTATCCCATTATATTATGAGACATAACAAGTAAAAGGGGAGGCAATTTATAATTTTCATTAGTTCAATGTCTACTTTCTCTATATATCTAATCACCGAATGATTTCAAAAAAATTGAATTTTTTTACTTACCTAACATTGAAAATATGCCGTAGAAAAATATTTTGGGTTCACAATTTTATTGACACGTAGTATTTTATTTGGCAAGATGTTGTCAGAACAGTTTTAAGCACTTTGGGCACTATTTTTTTTTGTAACTGCGATTTGTGACAAGAGTAATTTTTGAGTCCGTTTAGCAAATGCTCTCATCCAGACCAATTACGCGAAGAACTTATTTACCCATCAAGATGAATGGTTGCAACCAGAATGAAAGATCCATTCAATATTTTTGATAGAAAACTCGGAATACCCCTTACGTCATCATAATACTGTCACTCCACTAGTTCATAAGTCCAAATCGCCGAAAACCATTTGCGATTGGCACATTTGTCATGAGTCAGTCAGTTACGTTATGCAACGTTGCCAGACCGTTAAAACTCATCTTACAGACCTAGGGCACAGGAGGATTATTTCATTTGTTAGGTGTTAGGTTGGACTCGGTTGGAGTTTGGAGTCTCGTGGTGGCCGTGGTAGTAGACGAACGTGCTGATAACGTCCGTCCACAAAGAAGGTCCGCGGATACCATGTGCTATTGTGGGGCTCTTTTTTGTGATGTGATAGTCCATTGTAATGAATATTGAAATGTGTGAAAGTTTTTGAAAAGTGAAGTTTAAGGGCCCCTTCATTCACGCCAGTATCCAGGCCGGGGGTGATTCGGATAACCACATTAAGGGGCCTTGTATGTGAAGTCAAAAATCCGAAGGTTTCCCGATGAGGAGGCGACGCATAAATATATATATGTTAAAAAACCAAAAGGTATCCTGAGCAGGAGGCGATAATAAAAAAGTACTGTGTTTTTTATTATTAAAAGTGTGACAAAAAAGGGGTGGCAGCATTGCTTCGAGCAAGACCGCTGCGCCCCCTCCCTCCCGACGAAGCTTCTGTCAAATTGATAGGAGGAGCTTGGACATATGCGCCCGAGTGGGAAGAAACGTCCATAACTTGAAGAGACAGAGAGATGGCACAAGACGGTGGACAGTTGATCAGTACAACCCTATGTGAACCACAGGCTATTTTTTATTTTTATTTGATGTATCCCAATATCATGGTACTTTTCAACAAAGTAGTGAAACTATTCTTCCAAAATCAAAACATGAAAATGACAATCTTAAATCATTTCAATCTGAGAGTTTTTTGGTAAAATACTGAAACAATGGGAAAGATATATGATTTTTTTGTTTCTTCGCTAAACACTAGCGCCACTCGTGGTTGTTTTAGAAACATTTAGATTCGCTATGAAATAAGAACTTTCGGATTTTCTCTTGGATATCCAAAACTGGGTAATGATCAATCATTGAGCAGTGAAATTCTTACTGTTTCTGCAAGAAAACGCAAATACACATGTACACATTGAGACTTTGTTGCAGGTGCAGCAGCATTTTCACTACCATGAAAAAAGTAAAAAGCAGTAAATGAAGCAGTGAAATAGTAAGCAAAATGTGTCATTTGTCAATTATTGCTATTTTTTGGAAGTATGTATCCTACAATTCCATTGAGCTATCAAATTGAAATGAGATTCAGTAAAAAATTAGAAAATTATCTATTACTGGAAACACTAGGAATACTGTGTACGAACAATAACTTCCAACGGTTGAAATCGCTTTACCACGAATATGAAATTGAAGACAATTTATTAAATGTTTTAACGCTGCTTGCATCGCAACATTATTTGCTTTTCAGTTCACGACGCACCCATTGTGACGAGTCAAAACATCTATTTTAGTTTTTACGGATTGGGCGTTTATTTTGTCGTCATCAATACGACCATATCCATTTAGGTAAGGGTTTCCAAATAACAGAAGAACTGTTAATTATATTTCCTGACTCATCTTTGGATATTTGTAATTTTCAAATCGATGAATTTATAAAAAGTATGTGAATCTAACAACTGACTATAAAAACCTTAGTGCAATTTGCAGTGTCATTTTCAAAATGGAAAAAATGCAATGAAAATATTTTGTTTGGGCTTTTTATTTATATACTAGTGATTTGTTTGTTTGACGGTTCTGATTAGTTCGAGTTGAATGATGACTTGCGGTGAACAGTATTTATATGAAGAACCCGTGTGCGATAAATATATTCCGCCAAAAGTTAATGACAACCCTCAATATCTTCAAAAACTATAATTGCTATTCTCAAAGCAATAAAAAATGTCATTTTTGTAATTCCATTTCTTACGTTATCTTTAACGCCAAAATATTCATCCTCATTTTCAATACTTCGTGATTAATCTCACTCCAGTTCAATCCAGGGATCGTATATAGTCCCTTTGAACAAAACCTGAGTACAATCATTTATGATTTTTTTAAGCAGATTTGATTATTTTGCTTGTGTTTACCGTTTTCAAGTGCATTTTGATAGCTCATTTCAAATTTTATTGACATGTTTATCAGGTTTGGATCTTAATATATGGAGCTTGCGCTTATACAAAAAATACGAATTCACTGAGTTCAATAATAAATAGTCTAAACTTTAGCACAGATTAAATATTCAAACCGTGTTAGGAATCACACGTTAAAAGGTAAGACCTCGTTAGTCCTCAGCTCACACAAGTTTCTCAACTTCCAATTTTCTCCAAATGTCTCAACCTCCAATACCTTGAAACTAAAAGTCTCGAGTGTTATAACTTATATGAAACAAATTACAGTAGAAACAGAAGATAGTTCATCTAATTATGACTCGAGCGAAAGAGCTATCGCAGTTGGAATTGACGGGAATGGGATATGTCTTGGAAACTTTTTATCAACATTGTCTGACTCCAACTTGAAAGGATGGATTAGTCCTGTCGCAAATGATTGTCCAAGAGCTTAGTGTGACTATACATACGTGAACAAATTGACTTTTATTTTTACTTTTCAAAATCATTTTTTCAAGCTAAGAAATATTTGGTCGAGACGACAGCTTTCAAAAATTAACTGCTGTAAACTTAGAAAATTAGGTACCATCTACTGAGTTGCGCGGTTGAAAATTATCATGATCCTGATTACTTACATTAGTGACAGTTCAGTTTGGTGGTTTCTAAACGGTACAAAAACTACAAAATGTAAGTTCTGTGGTATTCCATTTTGGATAGGGCGCATGAGCCAACTGATTGCGTCAGATATACAAGCGTAGCGGAATATATGAAGTATGAAGCAGTGTGGCGTAATTTTGATTCATGTATAGCGACTTTATACTCTTTATAGTTCTACTAGTTGGCAACACTGTAGCGCAATATTCCGTATATTGTGACATTACTAATTCTAATTACCTTCCGTTTACTTTTACTTTTACATGAACTAAGGGAATAGCATAGACTAAGGGTCTGTGCTGAGGGCACAGATTACAAATGGTAACAACAAACAAACTACAACTGCAAAGTGAGGTGCATAGTGTACATCTAGAGTAGTGAAAAATTTGAATATTTGGTGAGATTGTCCTATTGCACAACTTTGTTGGGAAACAAGTAAAAAAAGTCCGTTCCTCTGTGATCTTTGCAGAATCTTGAATACCTATTTGTTGAAATGGATAATCAAGTCAAAAGTGATAAACAGGTTGGAATGGATAACCAGATCGGAATGGATAACCAGATCGGAAAGGGTAACCAGGTGGGAATGGATAATCCAGTTGAAACTGATGAAATGGATAACCAGATCGGAAAGGGTAACCAGGTGGGAATGTATAAACAGGTGGAAATGGAAAATCCAATTGGAATCGGAAAAGATAAACAGGTGAGAAGGGATGAAATGGATAATCAAGTCGGAATTGATAAAATGGATAACCAAGTTGGACTAGAAAATCAAGTCGAAATGGATAACCAGGTTGGAATGGATAACCAGATTGAAAAGAATAACCAGGTGGGAATAGTTAATGTGGAGAATCAGGTTGGAATGGATAATCAAATCGGAATGGATAAAATGGATATGATTTGGTTTTTATTCATGGTAAACTTTCCTATTAAATTGAGAAGTGTGTACGCTGCCGACCAGTTGACACACTAATGGCTGGTTCATATAACGAATATTTTATATTTTACTTTGAGAAAGTTATCAAAGTGTAAATCAATAGAAGTGTTTTACACAACACTTACTTTAAAGGGTGGTGTATGAACTCTTCCATTTATTAACATTGTGACAACTTTCTCAGGGTAAACAAAAACATACACTAAACTTTTACTTTAAGTTTGGTGTTTGGACCAGCCATATTCTTTTTGTTTTATAACGTATACAAATTTGTATGTAACTAACATCTTATCCTCTTATATTGCAAATCTGTATTCAAGCAATTTCTCAACTTTTTATTCATCAACTTCTCTTCTGAAGAGGGTAGTCATTGTTTGGGGGTACTGTTTTAATATATAATGATCAGACTAGGAATTTTGAATATGCTGAACAAGGCTTCCTCAGTTGATATTGCATCTGTTCTGTACATTGGGACCGATTCAACAAATTTTGAATGATAGTGGCACATGATCAAGTATGGTTCATTTTCTACCTGCATGAAATCGATGCCTATCTTCTCCCTCAGTGATTGTTTGCCATTAGAACTAGATTACTGTAAACAAGTCAAGCATCAGGACACTAAGTTTGATTTATGTTCATTAGGTCAAAATACTGCATCTTGAACACGCTTCTGGCTGGGTATTATTCCTTGATATAAAAAGTAATGCTTGTTCAAGATACCTTACCTGATGTGTAGGTAAAAGAAGTCGTCAACTACATGAATTTAATCTCGATATTGTTAGTATGGTTCTACTTCTCATTTCACTGAGGATACATTTTTACACCAATCTTTGTGAATGAAAGTTTTGATGATATGAAGGTTTGGATCCGAGTTGGTGCTTTGTTAGCAACAAACAAATCATTACTGAGACTTCAAGATATTAATTTTGTTCTTGCAGTAAATGCACATACCACTGATGTCTGCCGCAGTATCTACTACTACTAGTCTGGATTTTGTTCTCTTTATTCTTGACTCCAGCCGTTGAAAGCCAATGTTCTCATATTCCTTGGTCGCTCCATAGTTTGGTTTGTTTCAACTTTTTCTATCGAAATTTCTATTCCTTCATTAGTTATCGTATGGCCCAAAAAATCAATTTTAATTTTGGCCAGTTGAAATTTTTTCAACTAAATTCTGGTACAGCTTTATTAAAATTTAAGTAAGTCTGTCTAGTTTTTAGTATAAATTCTTCATTATTTTATCCAAGTAAACAAAATTTTCTTCTTTTAAGAATGAATGCGAGCAATATACTGGACCTAAGGAAGCAGCAAGTCAATATAGTGATCAAGTTTTCTTAAATGCCTTCTCAAAGTACGACACCGACCTCATTGTTACTTGGCTTAGACTTGGAAACAGTCCACTGCATATAGCTGTAATCGAAAAGAAGTAAGCAAAATTCAATACCCATTCAGTTCAAGTTTTGATTCCAGCTACTTTTCAGTTTCGAGGTGTTTGAACACTTTCTTAGCAAAAAAAAAGGATTTTCAAATGCAAGGAACTTCTCAGGAGAAACTCCTTTATATATGGCAGCTAAAGAGGGAAATATTGAATTTGCTCAAATCCTCATTGATAACGGAGCCGATGTGAATCTGTCAGACATGTGTGGAAATACACCTCTACATGTATCTATTGACTTTCCAGAAATCTCATATTTATTAATAAAAAATGGAGCCGACATAGATGTTTTGAATCTTAAAGGTCATACCCCATTGATGGATGCCGTGGGTTCGGAAAATTGTTTGGAAACTGTTTATTTACTTTTATACTTTAATGCAGACGCCAATTCAAGTACTGTCGACGGCATGACACCATTTATGCGTGCCCTCCAAACTGAGAATCGTGCTGCACAATATGCTTTGCTTGATTATGTGACCGACTTCAATGCCTCAACTGATTGCGGAAAAAGCACTTTATGTTGGTCCTTGACGGATGATAATAACCCGTTAAGTGAAGAAATAGTTAGAAGAGGTGGAGTAGTAGAAAGTTCAGCTTATGAATCGTGTTTCATTTATCCAACTCCTGAAAATTTCAGATTAATTTGGAAAAACCTTCCCAAAGGGGCAGAATATGTTTCTTTATCACATTTATACCTCTTGAGAACGCATAATGATGAATTTCTCATCCAAGCCTACCTGGATATTATCCTTGAAGATACTGATAGTTCAATACTGAGTGTATTAGCAGAAAATATGCATTATCATTATATGGAGTTCTTGATTGTCAGATGCTCTCCATACAATTCGGCTCGAGAGAAACTTGCAAAAATGATATGTCTTTTGTTGCAGTATGGTTATCGAATAACTTCTGATGAGATTGATACAGTTTTTAGACATTATGGCTACTGTGACTTCTTTCGAATCTTACTATTCATGAATTATGAAGCAGAATGGGGTGCTGTGATCACCACAAGGTTGATTTTTGATATGCAAAGTACTTTGGAAACAATAACCCATGAAATTATCCAAGATAATTCATGTTGTACGCTTCACTTGATTGAAGTTGTCATAAGCTCCTTTCGATATTGGGCGTATCTTCCTCTGGCCAAAGCTTGCCTAAATAAAATTGATGGAGCTCATTTTGCTGAGGAATACGATGAATTTTCGAAATTGATTGAAAAACGTCCAAAAGTACCTAAGTTACTTGAATTGGCTAGAAATAAGGTCAGAGAACACATTGTGGGGAGTCGTAATCTCACTTCTGCTTGCGCTTATTATACAGTTATAAACTCCATGAACATGTCATCGGTATACAAAAAAATACTGATGTATGAGAAAGAGTTATATGATTACTAATATAGGAAAACTATATATAATTTATTAAGTTTTACGTCCACCATTGTTGTTTTCTTGGTGGTGTCATGAGCACCTAGAGAACTGAAACATAATATTACTTATAATGCCAATATTTCAGATAAGATTTTCACTTTCTTGAAGACTGCGATAAAACATTTCAACAATAACAAGATATTACAGTAGTAATACATGACGGTGTGCAGAAAAATACATCAGAATTTCCAAATTTATCTAATTGAAAGTGAAAATGTTGTTCGATCAAAATTGTCAATAAAATAAATATATCCTTTACTTGTCACACTTCCAAGGAAAAAAATTATATAATATAGACTTGAATGCTCTTAGAAACATTTTTGAATATTATAATATATTTACGATATATTTTAGCTTTGGGGAAAAAAGGTGGGGGTTTTAGAAGGAAGTAGTTTTCATATCAAAAGGTACAACTGAAGTACAGGTGAGCTATGCCTTTCTATATTATAAAATTTCTTCTTCAGACAGATGAAATGAATCCATTGTGATATCAAGTATAAAAATCTACCTCAGTAAAATCGGGTTTTGTAATTTAAGTATTTCTAGATAATATAGAGAAAGAATGCCGAGAATTTACGACTGATCACCCAACTCTAATCGACTATTTAAAGACTGATAATAATGAACGTTTCCTTATTTTTTATATCCTGCAATCCTTGAGCAGAACTGACATTTTGTCCTTTACACATATTTTTATTCATGTTAGCGTCATTAGGAGAATATCTAAGATCACCTGTTTATGCCTTTTTACTCAACGTTAAATGAATTTTCTTTTTCTTTGAGAGCCTTAAGACATATTTTTTTATTTTGATTTTTATTAATGAACAAGTAATTACATATCTTTCAAGAAGGTAATAAATCCAAGAGATTTTAATGTAAATTAACAATAGTTCAAAAGAAGATAAGTACTGGTCATTTTATAGGCTTCAGCTAGTTGAGATCATAAAATTCATCAACCGTGGAAGTTTGTTATACAAATTCTTATACTTTGTAATAGCCTGCTATTTTGTTATGATTAAATCAATCAACTAGTGGTTGAATACAGGGTAAATTGAAAAAATAATAGATTTTACAACTAGAAAAGATAGTTACAAAATATAAGAAGGAAAAATAAATGAGACCCATATATTAATGGGGCTCATAAACCGCCCCCACTATTTTTATTTGAATTGGATCCATTCTTTGTCTTAGAAAAGATGTTATATCTGCTTCACAATATAATAATACTTGCAGTTAAAATTTGATGAAATAATTTTTTGGAATCTGATTTCAATTATTTCACAAATTCCTGTGAACACGAACAGAGATTTTATATTTCATAATTACAATGTAATTTGTATTACTCTAATACTCACATTTTGATTTGTTAATGGTCTCATTAAAAAAAAAATAAAAACTTTCATGAAGAATGAAACTTTCTTTCCTTGATAGATAGATAGATAGATAAATATATACTTTATTGTCCAAGAAAATACTATCTTATTAACAAAGCTTGTTAATAAATCTGGTATGTATAGCACTTCAAAGAATAAAGAAACAATTTATAAACAGGAATACCCAGAAACACAATTTGAGCAAAACAAAGTTTTGTTCAAATTGTATAGATAAAATATAACAATGAAAAAATTAAATTTAACCAAGTTTGTCGAAAGAATAGATTGTATAGTCCCTTTTACCTGCAGTTTGGTTCATAGCATTGACTGATTCATTGTAATTTTCAATAAGTTTCTGACCAATGTGACTGATGAGTTAAAAATTGTCTTTATTTTTGAAATATTTAACCAGAAGGCTTTTTATCAAAATTATGAACTTTGACAAAGCAGATGTTATCCCTTTCCACCAAGGTATAACTATGGGCTTTCAATTGATGTTTTGTGAATATTTTTTCTGTTTTTTTTTTAATTAACATTTAAATTTCCTTCATTAATTTTATGATTTACCTAATTTTGACCTCATAGTGCTTTGATTCAATCATTCGATTCAATCATTCTGTGATATGAAACCACATGTACAAGTTTTCAAATGTTAATTTTTGAACATTTTTATTATATATTGTAATTTATAAGTTTATACTGTCGAATATGTTAATATTATATTAACACTGTGCGGGTACCTATTTGTATTGTTATATGAGTGACTAAACAAGTGTTGTCGTTTATTGCTTTTTAAAAATTCATAAATATTGTTCGTAGGAATATTTTTTACTTTCATATTGTTCTTGTAAATATGTCATTTTGTAATAAAATTTAAAATAATATTATTTGTATCATATGTTTCACGAGTCCGTATTAAACAAGCTGCAAGATTGGCTAGTAGGTAGTTGTCCTTCAGACCACATCAATGCTTTGAGGCTGCAGTAGTCCATTCTTGAAGCGGAGTGAAGATATCTTGTTGAAGATAAAAAACTTTATCTTCACGAATTCATTTACAAAAACAATAAATGTTTCAGGTTTATATATGCCTATCATCAGTTGAAAGAATAAATAAAATGAAAGAAATGTTAAAATTATTGAACAGTGGAAATTAATAAACCAAAATATTTGGATAAATTGGAATTGAAAGAAAAAGCAAAAATGAATAAGACGAATAATTAAGCAAACATTATTGTGACCTAAAATGAAAATGAATTAATATATGAGTTACACGCTGATGAGCAGACTTAGAACAAATGAGGACTAGGAAAGGCAGAAAATCAATAAAAAGATAGCTGGTCTATTTTCAATGATCTCCAAAAAAGGTGATTAAACATTCAGTTAAAATTTGCTTAGACCCCAATTTTTGAATGATTTTTATTACACCAGACCAAAAACTACCTGGAAATATATCATCAACTATACATTTCCGCAAAAAAATTTGAGAACATACCTTATTCAATCTTAGTTGTTTTGTGGCAAGTTAAAATCTGTCTTTTGAATCCAGTGAGTTTCCATCATTCCTGAAAACTTTTTTCCTAATCCTTTTTCATAAGGGTGGATCTAATCCCTTTCAAATACCTACAGGGCAAATATCACTATTCTTTCCTTTGATAAAATTATTAAATTTTTTTGCCAAAACCAGAATCTTCCATTCATTATTCCAATAATATTTTTACTTCTCTCCAGTTCATATTCCAATCAAATATTTTTCTATCTTCTCTATTATATGGAAATGGTATATTCCGAATTTAATGCTGCTACTTTCTATGACCTATCAAAATAATTAGGCTGTGACAACCATGAGATCCTTCTAAATAAGCTACATTATGAATTCAGACAGAGACATCAATAATATAGACTTTATAGATATAAAGGCCACGATCACCCTCTTTGCTAATGACACTACCTTATTATGGCCCATACTCTTCAAGAGGTCATCTCCAAAGATGTGATTAATATCAATAGAATATAAAGTATAATTATAAATGTTTAGGGCTAAATATTGACGGTATTATTCATTTTGTGTGACCTCTCAATTTCTCTCTTCCTTCTTTTGGGAGTTTCCTACAGAGCCATAAAGATTTTCCCCCTAAAACTAATTTCTTCTAAAAACTATAAAATATACCCTTTTCGATTTGAACAAGATTCCTTGGCTGGAATTAAATCAAATAAGTTCATGAATGTCGTTTCGTATTGTTATCGTGACATGAGTAGATTTTTCTCCTCCGATGATTGTAATTTTATGGAAAATTAATACTTTGACTCACAATATTATACCCAAAAAAGCGCTGATGAGGCAGTTATCTTATTCAGAAACTTCGAAGTAAGCCATTGAGAATTATAGTGTTCCAAGTGAAACGTTATAATTCAACTCATATATTGTGTAGTGTTCATATCAATATCTGTTCCAATTCCATAACGAATGTTTGAAGTTCAAACTAAATAGGAAAAGTGATTTTCGTATAATTCAATCTTTCTATGAAAGTAATTAATTCCAAATGAGTACTTTTTATTTCGTGTAATTCAATGTAAAAGTAGTTGTTTCAAGAGGGTTTTTTCCTACTTGTACCTGAAAGTAACGTAACTCGTGTTAGGAATCGTATGTTGAAAGGTAAGATCTCGTTAATATTTGACTCGCACAAGTTTCGACTTTGAAGGTTATCGTTCGTGGGTGGCGAACGTTGGTTAACAGAAAAACGTATTTCAAGAAAAAGATAGAGATCTATATATCTTTGTAAAGAGTACATTTTAAACTTTATTCGTCGGAAGTTTTTCACAATTTGAATTTCTGTCACAGATGAGTTTTCATTTGTGTTATTCCTGTCTGACCCAAAAAAGCTACATCTTTTCTTTTCCATTTATTGGCCTCAGCAACGAGGTTAGTCAACTTGAACATTATAAAATTAAGCTATGGTTTGTTTGAAATCGTTGGGATGCTGACCTGCCGAGATGATATCTGATAAGTTTTAAATAATTTGAATGTACCGCTAAGAATGACATTTAACACCTCGAACACAGAATATATGTCACAGAAACTTGACCCCTTCGACACAGAATATTAAACATATTATTCTGTGTCCTCGAGAAGAAAATGCAAAATGCCTCATTTGCCCATTTACTTCATTTTTTGTCTTTGTATGCTGTGCTGTCATGTGTCATGTATACTAGGTTAGAAACGATTTTGAAACAAGGTTAAGTGTCATATTTGGAAAGAAATTATTTCTTAAGAAGTTATGAGAATAAAATAACAAAAATTGAGAAAAATAGAGATAAGTAAAGTAAAAGCCGTAAAATTTTATAGTATATTTCCCTTTTCCAAGGTAAATACATACATGCAGGGATGAAACTAATTTGGGATGGCATTGCCTTTTTGTAAAAATATTTTTTCAAGTTCACATATTTGTTTTCAGATATGTCTCTGATTAATAGCATAATGAATACCTGTAACACCAAAATTCAATCCTGGGTACCCCTTCTAACAACAGTCAGATACAGATATCATGCAGAGCAAAAAATAGCTAGAGGTCCCTTGCTCAGAAGATATGGATACGATGATAAAATGCTTCAGAGTGGGCCGTTACCGAGGGATCCAAAGGGCAAAAAATTGATTATGCCTGCTTACAGGTTCAAAGATGTTTGGAATGAAAAGCGAGCTCTTTTTGGTCAGAATGACTATATTGATATATTAGGAAATGAAAAACTACATCCGACTAAAATATTATATAATATGCCGAGATGGCTGAGGGGTGTTGGCGGACACGAATTCCAGGTTATGTTACGGAAAAGGAAAATGTTGGGACAAACAGGATATCCCAAAGTTAGACCTACCAAATTCTATCAGCTTGAGAAAAGGATATCATGGCTATATAAATATTTGAACAGAAAAACTAAGACTTTTTATTATTAGGTGAGACAAAATTTTGTTGAATGAGTAATATAGTATGCGGAAAATTATTTTTTAGTTTCATTGTTTACAAGAATTGTTGAATAATTGTTACAAAGGCTAATTATAAAAGGACCTAGCTTTATTCATATTATTTCTTATTATTTTTGTTATTCTGAAAAATATCAAAGTTCCAAAATGGTCACATTCTTTGTGGTTTTGTCTTTTTTGCTTAATGTAGAATTTTTAATGAATATCAACATGAATATAAACAAGGTTATTCAACAGGGCCAGTTATAATATATAAAATAATTTAAATCTACAACTACATATTGTAGTTAATGTATGTGCAACTGATATAATAAAAGGATTACACTTTATATTGAAAAATGCTATGGTATCTGTCCTTATGAAAATGTCATTTAATGAATTGACAGAACAATCAACTCACAAATATCAATCGTCATCAAGTTTCAGTGAATCCAGCAGAGAAATACAGAAAATGAAATTTTAGCTGTGCAGCTGGCTGCCTTTGGGAACTATTCATCACTGATAATGATAATTATAGATCGAGTCTTCTGTCATTCCAAATAGAAAGTGTTTTCCCACTCAGGCTTGTCCTTCGAAGATAGTTGAGGTCAACAATGCATTCGTGGTTAAATCTAGAATAACCTCAGTCATGGATGCTATGGTTTCTTGGTGTGATAGAAACCAACTGAAACTGAATGCTAACAAAATAAAAAATAATATACCCAGGTTCCTCCTTGAGGAAGACAATGAACCTGAATAACATCCAAGTAATACAGCCAAACTTCTAGGTATCTACTCACATTAAACTTTTTCTTGGGAGCCTCACAATGATCATGTGTGCAAAAAATATAATTAGGTATATTTGTAGTATGCCAGATTGAAGAAGTGCTTAACTTAATTGGTATCAAGACCTTATATAACTCTTTGACCTATTCTTACATGGCTCAAAATATACTAATGTGGGTCCTTCTGTTAGTGCAATAAGGGTGTTCATTCTACAAAAACGAAAAATCAGAATCATAATCGATTTCAAAACAAAGAATAAAAGCCATATCCTGCATTTATATTTATGAAGTTCTGGTTCATGTCAGATACAACATAGTCAACTTTAATCAGGAGTCTGTCACTCATAATGATGCTACACCAACTGAACACTTGACCATACCAAATTATAACTGCACTATACTTTTCAATTCATAGTCAAAGGATATCAAGAACTTACCTAAATTACCTTTCAAGAACAAGATTGAAGAATTATTGATAAATGGGGGGGATATTATAGCTTAGACGAATTCATGTAAAGGGATGTGTTCTCTCTAAATTTTCCTTTCTAATGTTCTGTCGACATTTTTAGTTATATAGAATTGTTTAATAGTGTTTATATTAAGTTATTGAAGTGATAACTTCTTAAGGAGGGAAACCACTTCATTACCTAGCGTGTTACGTCGCCAGTTTGTCTGGTTTCCCTTTCTCTCACGCATATGTCAGCGGAAGGCAGGCTCCTCCTCTCTCTTCGGACAGACGCTCAGTGTTTAGTGTGCGCTGTGCGATAGATATATATTGTTGACAGTATTATAAAAATATAATGGCATCATCGTAATGGGATATGTCATCGCCCTCACTTCCTCAAGACAGTTGAGGTTGAGGCATTTGTGGTTCAGCCTAGTACCACTGATGAGACCTATGGCGGGTCGAGACAGCACAGTCTGGTGTTGAATCATAAATGTGTTGTGTTTCATACAGCAAACAGTTACACTTTTATTATAAATTATGTATTGATATTGATGATCTAATTGATATCATGATAGGTATCATTTATTTTTGAAATGAACATTCTGAATATTTTCAATGATGAGCTGTATGGTAGCTGGTTGGTCGGTGAGTTCCACTCATCACTATTTTGATTGTTAGTTTCATCACAACTCTGGGATGATAGGTGTTCACTGTATGTCATCTAACCCATGCTAGACTCGCTATCCATTAAAAGGTAAAACCTCGTAAATCTTTAGCCTGAACATATTGGTTCATATCAAAACGAAAACAGAGAAACCTATTTTATTTCAACTTATATTTTTAGACGGTCATCTTCCAATTCGAAAAGTATTTTGGTTGACGAGATTTTGATATCTTTCTGCAAATATCAGAATTTCAAGTAAATTCATTTCAATATATTCGGGATGAATTTTTTTTACAAATCTATAATGATGATCTATTCCAAGAATATAAAGTAAACATATGAGAAATTATGTACAAGGTGTGTATTTAAATAAAAAAACCATTTCATCAATAATTAGTTTTATTGAAAAGAGTGTATATACATTAAAAAACTAAGAGAAATACTCAACGTAGACAAGAATCACATTGCTTTTTCTTCCTCTAGTGACGAAACTTTTTCTGAATAGAATGGCAGTGTTCTAGATTTGAAAAAGAAAGTAATGGGATTTCAGGTACACGTCTGTTTACGTATAAAATTATAATAGAAATCTTATTCCTATATGTTCTTAGCTTAAATTAATAAATACGAAAATATCAATTACAAATCAGATTCAGAAACAAGTCTTTTAGTGGGGTCTTCTGAAAACTCCTGTGAAAAGTATAGCATTCTGTGCTTTTTCGTAAATCACGTAGATGAATGGATGGTTGCATATGAACTGAGCTGGTTCCGCAGGTCTACTGGAGCGGAAGCTGAAAAGAACAGTGGCAGCTGCAGCTTTCGTTCCTTGTTCGTTAACCTCAATCTTTGCCTTATGCAATGCCTCCCCAAGAGATAGCTTTTTGTCAGAGAGAGTGGAGAAGTTAGATGTAGACTGAAAGACGTCGCCGATGCCCATATATTCCAGAACCTGTAACATGAGTGTTGATTATTTTTTTCTACTGGATATGAAGTGAAGGAAATAATGAAATGTGAATATGTCCATATTAAAAATACCAAGTGCTTGTTTCTTTTTATTCAAAAGTTATTAATTACTCCACGGAACAATTGGACTCGACTGAAAGGAAATTTTTATATAGAATAAATCCAAAACAAACACTATATCCGATTTTGAAAACCAGGAAAGTCTAGTGTCGCCTAAAGCTTGACGCCTACTTGTCCGGCACAGTACAGCACAATATTTCCGAATGACTCCAGGCAAATTTTCAGAACTTCTGGATATTCTGGAGCGTGCCTTGACAAACATCACAATTTTTCCTCGTCCATTTTCATAGGTACCGTCTGACACCGTGCTGTCAACTGATGGAATAGCAAAACAGAGAGACAGAAACTTCCCAGGCACGTTTGGACAAGTTGATGCTCGCCGGCGACGCGCTCACTAGGTCAGTCCGTCACAGTAGGTACCGTTATTTGGCCTTTCCGGCGGCAAACTCTCTTGGCTGTGCCGTGCCGGGATAGTGGGCGGTTGTCCATTCATGTTCATTGTTCCAATTCTATACGTATTTTGACGGGACGGGCCGTGCCGTGCGGTGCCGGACAAGTGGGCGACAAGCTTATCACGCTTTGGAGAACAGACATAGCATATATGAATATTGTTGAGACTTGTATATGACACTGGACTTTTATTTTTCTGATTGATTCGGCCGTTACTTGATGAAGATACATCGTAATTTCAAAAACTACATAGTACAGTTTTTGAAAAAACTGGACTTTTAGATGGTTTCCAAAGTCTGATAATAGCAAAAGTGTGGCATGAGAATTATGAAAGGTGATGAAGGTACCATTCCACACAGCCCATTGTTTACATTTATATGAACTACTCCGTTGAAATTAGGGAAAACTTCCACGATAAATCACTCGTATTATTGAATAGGCAAAGTTAGAGTTAACAAATAGTATAGTTTATCTTCTAATGACACCAACTTGGTTGTTAAAACGTGCGTCGAGAAGAGTGTTTTGAACTGAATGCATTGTTTAGTATGTTTGTGAAGTTAAATTGAAATGGTTGTAACTATAGGTACTATTATAAATATGAAAGTTTGTGAGGATGGATGTAAGTTTGTGACTCTTTCACGCGTTTCAGTTTGTAGCCCAACAATAAACCCAAACATCAAGCTCTTTTGTGATCTCTTAAGAATGGCCTGTTCAAAAATACATGTTGAAACTTGTTCAATCTCTAATAGTGATCTAAGTTTTCAGGGAGGCTACAAATTCTACCAATATTCCATCTATTCAAGAACTCAGTTTACCAATGTTGAAATAAATGAAAAGAGGTTAACTTTTCTATATAAAATATCAACTTGTTCAAAAGCAATTAAAACCAAAATGCCACTGTAAGAATTCAGACAATTAGAAGTGATAATGAATTAGTTTGTTTCTAAAGTTTTATAGCTACTGGTTTTCATTCTTTGCAATTAGAAAAAAGTTTCGGCAATATTTTTAATTATGATTTTTTGAGAAAATATTCACGTGTGGTAGTCAAAATATTTCACAGTTCATTCAACTTTTCTTTCAAGTCTCAAAAACTATTACAGTGTTACAGACGACAAAGCTGGACAAGGAAAAATAAGCAAGCAAGCAGAAAGCTCTTAAATACCCAACAAAATATTTTAACTAAATATTGTGTTTTTATTTTTATAATGCCATTCGAACAGTTTTTTATTTATAATTTTAACCACAACAACTGTGCAGATCCCAGATATTATATAACAGAGAAAACCAATCGCTAGAATAAATTATTAATGATAATGATTAAATGTTTTGCTCCTATGCAGTAATATCAAATATTATGATGAGGTGTGTTGACTACGACAAATGAATTTATGAAATGATGATTAAATCAAAGACTTACTTGATCATTTGACGTTATATTTAATTTTATAAATTATAACAGATCTAATTTCAAAATGGCAACTAGTTCATATGGCAAGTCACAAGTGATTTGTCACGGGATATAAAATAATCTCAAAGACAAATTTTCTGAATAAACTGATCAACTCTTTAAACAGGAGCATTGTTTTCATTTATTGTTTACACAGTGTTGAACATGTCTATAATATCCTTTATTAATTAGACCACATAAATACCGACTCTGTATACCAGTAACTTTCAACAACCAAAGAATTCTTCAGTTTTGAATGGACTTGGTTGCTTTCAACGTGGAACAAAATATGACAAAAATATATGAACAATTATTGATAATTACTTATTTCAGGATATGTCATTCTGAATATTTTGACAATAAATTGAAAATGAATAATCAATAAGTTTCATGAATAACCCAATTATCAATCTAATCAGAACTTCAGTTTTTGTTTGCTTGTTCTTTTTAAGAGAGCTTATCTCCAATTAAAGAGTTGACTTATATTCGAGAATTAACAACGCCCCCATTCAGTTATTTCGACGGTGGGTTTCTGAAAACCCCGACAAACATCACTGTGTGAGTTTTGCCATTATAAATCATGTAAATGAATGGTTTATTGCAGATGAACTTGGTTTTATCTTCTTCCGAGGGCATCATTCTCCAGGCAACCAGAGCAGTTGCTGCGGCAGCATGCGCCCCATTTTCGTTGATTTCTATTCTTGCCTTGTGTATGCCCTCGCCGATCGACATTTTTTCAGATGTCAGAGCGCTAAAGTCAGCATCACTACCGAACGGGTTCCCTTCACCAGAATCTAATATCTACCAGAGAAAGAAAGAGAGGTGTTAGTTTTGTTAATGGGAAAGGACGTAATTGAAAATATGATATTTACAAGGATCAGTTTCTTTTTACCACTACAAGGATATCTTAGTATGAAGATTTTGAGTACAGCTAGCTGTAAATTGACAATAAGTATAGGTTTTTTGTTCAAAATCACTAATGGGGTGGTTCAAAAGAATTCCTCCTCGGACAAAAAGTTCCACAATGCAACTATGGACATGAGGACATGTCTAATTTTGATCGGACTCCCTAGGAAGTCAATTAAACGTCCATTTGATATCCCTCAGAGACATGTGAGTAGCTGTGTGTTTACCTTTTTGTTGGAATTCTCATTATTTATTGGTACTGAAGATAATTCACACTCGTATAGAGACGTTCATAATGAAATATTTTTTCAATATTCATTATTTTCTGAAGTACGCAGTCTTTACCGCAGTACGGTTCATAGGACCAGTGCAGTAGCCTTTTTAGCTTTGAGCACCAGAAATATTTGTCTGAACGTTTCTTACATATATACATATATACTTTTAACTTTTCTTACATATATACAGTGGATTAGTTAATGTAGCTTGAGATTTCTTGGTGATGGGATTATTTAGCAGAGTAGATAATTGATAAAATAACACTTTTGAAAGCTATTCCTCGTTAAATACAAAACCCCCTTTTTTGTCACACGTAGGTACATTACATTTCAACAATATTTTATTCATTGTTTCCAAATAATAATGCAAGAATTAATTGCCAATTTTAAAGAAGAAGAATTAATCTAACTGAATTACTGTATCATTTTCGTTACTTCATAAGAATATTGAGGAATGTTTTTCAGTTTCGGTATATAGGGAAAGTAATTTAGTTTGATCAAGTAATTACTTAGAAGAAAAAATAACAAATGATCTTGGACTTGAATTTACATAATTCACAAATTATTTCATTTGAATATCATGGTTTTGAAATTTGTCAAATTTTCTTATAGTGCTAGTTGTAACATGTGGTTAAGAGAACAAGTTTCATTTGGAATAATTTTTTCAATGTTTTTTACTCCATGTTGTGAACATCTTTTCATGAAAATATATTAAGACCATCCTCACCCACACTGCAAGCAATCTTTTAGACTCCTCATTAATCTTGTATATTAATTCTCATATACATTTTGTAGCTCTCCCTGAAGATGATAGACTATTGAATTATTGAAAATATAGTGTGATAAGAGTACCCGTTTCTCGCTTGATGCTTACCCAAAATTTTTTCAACATTTATATATACAACTATATGGTCCGCGTTGAACCGCGTTTGGTGTTTTGTTGTTCGACGTTTCGGCTTCGACTCTGAAGCCATTTTCAATAGGTTATAACCACAATGAGTTCTCAATCTGCCTACTCCTCAGGTAGTGACAAGCTTTGAGGGTTTCGTGACTTGACGCCAGGGTCTCAATCTGCCCCTTCCCAAGCGCCCTCGTATGTTACGCAAACTTGTATATCTATTAAACTTTTATTCAATCTCACAATAAAATATTGCTTAGAAATGATATCATGGATCTTTATCAAGTATCCGCAGATTCCATCACATCAAGTGGTTTGAATTCGGAGACCGAGCTTTTAGTTATGAATATAGTAATTTCATCACCCCAATATATGAAGGTCCTCACATTGGGTAATATGTATTCCCAATGACACATATTGGAGATTTTCAGCTTTTATTTAGGTAGGAAAATTGCAACTTGTTGATTTCTGTGACTCTAGTGATTTGGTGCGGTTTCGTTTCAAAAGTTAGAGTTGACGTCCATTTTTGGTCTCAGGGGCCTCAGTTTGATACACTTTTTCTCAGTCACCTCAGATGAATTTAATTATCGAGATTTTGACTTGGGGCGCGACGAATATCGTAAAAAAAAAGGTGAAAGGAGAAATTATCGAAACTTATTCTTCAAAATCTGCAGACTCTGTCCAGACCACTCAGTAAGTTTTAGTGAATGTTGAAGCGATTGGCTAGAGAGCCTAATTATGAACCACTTTGCAAAAATACATTGTTGATTCGTCATATACCATATTGAATTCAAAAATTTTGAAGGGAAATAACAGAGATACTAGCTATAAGGCAATGCTTTTATTTTGTTTAAAAGAGGAACCACATTTATTTGCACTAGAGGAAAATCGCCTAATATGGGGGTAGTGCCTAATATGGGGTAGTTCAATTTTAAGCAAGTACTTGTTCCGACACCTATTTAGGTTATGGTAATGTTGTGAATGAATAAAAATTTCTGGTGACTGTTGCATTTTAGATATTTAAGGAAACTTAAAGGTAAGTTTTTGAAAACTTAATAATATCATTCCATACAGAAATTGGCGTAGTTTATGGAAATGGTTTTGGTTTTTTAAGAAAACGTCACAGTTTTTTCACAAATATTCCCCTTTCAAAAATCTACTTTGGTAGTAATATGGGGTATCCATCAATTCCTAATTTAGGGTACCCCATATTAGGGGACTGTGTACTTTTCTGTATAAAACTAAAGTATTTTTTTCAGATGCCTAAAAAACGAAAAGTATGGAGCAAGGAACAAATGATTTCAGCTGTTCGGCAAGACGAAATGGGCTACAAATGGGCAGACCCACGGCATACCTCAAACGACCTCAGAAAGGTACATAAAGATGAAAGGAGCGCCTGAAGACATTGTGAATTCTTCGTTAGGACGATAGAGATCACAAACTGGCTTAAGCTTAACCCAGGACGTGCTGTATCAGGCTATCAGGTGGGAGAACTTTTTGGGAAAGCTTATATAGGAGCGGCCACCATGTATTGAGCTATAAACGGGTTTAAAAAAACTGGAATGTTTCCTCCTGATAGAAACACATTCAAAGGATATGATTTTGTGGCAGAAATGCAAGGAGCAATTAATGAAGAAAGAGTAGAAACAGAAACAATGGATGAAGAAAAAGTAGAGGAAGACACAGTTAGAGGAAGAACAATTAGATAACAACGAGCCAAAAGAAAAAATCCCTGAAAGACAAGTTACTCCTCCAAGACTGCAAACCGCTGTGAGATAGGTTACCCCTGAGAAACAGATTACCCCTGCCTGTTCCAACTGCTTCAAGTTATTATTAAAAAAAAGAGTACAAAATGTGGAAAAGCTGCCGTTGTAACTAGCACTCCATACAAAGAGGAATTGAAGGCCAGCATAGAAAAAAGAAATTTACCTTCAAATTCGGGCGTCAAAAGAAAGATCATCAAAGTCATCAAAAAAAAAGAAACATATCTAAAAGAAAAAGATATAGTCAGTTGCTATAGAAAAAGCAAACAAACGCAAGTTGGTATCCTGGAGTTCTTCTTCAGACTTGGCCTCTGAACCCGAGTATCAAGATTCAGATGATCAACAGGTAGAAAACTTTGAAGAAGATGCTATTTGTATTTTTTGCGAAAATCCGTACTCCGAAGATGTCAGAGGCGAAGAGTGGGTAATGTGTCAAAGCTGCTTCAAATGGACTCATGTTGAATGTGCTAATTGTGAAAGAAATCCGTATATTTGTGACTTTTGCATTTCTAAATTATTTGTTGTACCTATGTTCTTTCTAGATGAGAATTTTTTTATGTCCATAAGGGACGAAACTTTTCATCAGATATACTTTTTGCATTTCCATAAATAAATATTTCTCAAAAAAAAAACTAAATAATTTCACTTTTTATCAAATTTTACATATTAAATTAGGTACCCCATATTGCGAACATAGTGTACCCCATATTAGGATATCATATGCCTCTAATATGGGGTAGTGCACTTTTTTTTAAATTCAGCATATTTTCATCTGTTTAAAAAAAACATGTTTCTTCTTATTAAATGCTTGATAGTATACCCAAAGAAACATGAAATATGGAAATAATGCTTAAAACTACCTCCATTTTTTTATTATGGTGTTTTGAAAAAAAGTACCCCATATTAGGAGACTTTCCTCTACTTAATTCTCGTTCAGATAACTACTGTAAAATTTAGGATTGTTAGAACTATACTGGACAATTTCTATGGATTGTTTCATAAAATCAGTACCTGATGATGTTTGAAATCAAACAATAAATTCGAATTTTTTTAAATGATAGAATTAGTGAATATATTTATTGTTACGTACCGGTGTTAATTCAATCATAGTTTCCAAACTGAACTTGGGCAAAGCCACTTGAACGGTCTTGGGAATCCAATCGTTATTGTCTACGACTTTTTTGAGAGTTTCCGCATTAAGATTTTTCAGAGTTGTTTCAATAGAGTCTTCGGCGTCACTCCACGGTGGCAAAAATATCAACATTTTAACGTTGTCTCCTTCATAAGGTAGTTCTAGAATATGGGCACCTAGGGATTCTGATATATCTGTAACGACAAAACGAGATTAAATTTGACAATGCACCATAAATTGTTTTTAATAGATACTTCTGAACTGTGTTAATATTTTTTTTTGAGGAAGAAAAAGAGATGTTAGTTTGGCATTTTTCCGCTTGAAAACTCTTGAAAAACAATTGAAAGGCCATTTCTCTAGGAAACAATTTGAAAAGTTTCCCAATCTAACAGTTTTACAAAATAGTATTCACATATTAAAATATTTGTAAAATAACGAAATGATTTTGGTAATTATTAATTTATGGCTTTGAAGATGTTGATGTATACTCATATACATGGAGGATATCCCATTTCGCAATCACTGAAATTTGGTATTGTACTTCTAAAATTAGGTATCACTTACTCAAATATGTATGTCTAGGTACGTGATGGAATTATTTTTAATTAAATGAAAAGATTTATTCATGCAGTGAAGGCTGATGATGAGAAACCCATTTAGTGCTCTGCCAGCAGACATTTGTATGAACATTAAGAGTGAGAGGCCCGGTTTTGCCGGGTATGCCTACAGACACGTACGCTTTATTAAAATGTGTAATGACAGATATGTTTAAAGGATTTCTGCTCATTTCATTATATTCAGAAAAGGGCATGGAAGGTTTGGACGAGGAGATTTTTTGAGAAAATTAAATACTTTTTCAAATATTATTGTGTGAAATGTCTTGTTCGAAGGAGTTTTATTGAACTTCTGCACAGGATAATGCTTACTAAAAATTCAAATATGTCTTCGTCCGAACCTTACAATGCCTATGTAGCTTACAATAAGACACTCAGTTTCCAAAAAAAAAATAATTATAAGATCATATTTTGCAAAATTTAATTTATGCTGCTGCTGTGCTGGTACAGATACGTAGATGATCTCTTAGTCTGATTTATTGGTACAGGTAGGCATTTGGACAAGTTTTCCGAATTTGTTATTTCCATTCACCCAACAATCAAATTCACCACTAAAATGGAAGTGAATGATTCCAATAATTTTTTTAGACGTGAATATTACTGACATTAATAATAAACAAGATTTTGCAATTTTCCACAAACCATCTAATACAGACATTGTCAAATAAACTCCTCGGCACATCCCTATCAACATAAAGTAGCAGCGTTCAATAGTATATTTCACAGATTTTCATTAAACTCAAATATTTTGGCTTTGATAGTGATGCCTCATTTCTCATCTGCTCTTCTTTACTGGGTAAATCTCAAAAAGATTTTTTGAAGGTCATTACTCCTTTTCTATTGATATTCTACTTGGCGTTCCACAGGGTTCCATTTTGGAACCTTTATTGTTCATCATTTATACTGATGACATTATCTCGTCCACCAAGAATTGTAAAATACAGGCTCATGCTGGTGACACACAGTTATATATTCCTTTTAAAATCGATGAGTGTGCTGATGCACAAAATCTCTTTAACGCTGATCTAGATTTGATCAATTATCTATCAAATGAACATGATTTGAAACTCAATCCTAATGAAACAACGACAATGCATTTTGGATAGCAGCAGACTCGTAAATTTGCAGAAAACAATTTCCACTACGAACTAGGTCATACTATCTTTCCTCCTGCCAGTAGAGCTAAAAACTTATGAGTGTAATGCTTGGCACCGACTTTTGATTCACTGATCATATTAAAAATTTAATGAAAAAAGCCTGTATGTTATTGAAATTGTTATATTGCAGTCGTTTTATTTTGAGCCAATTTAAAAAAATGCTTTGTGAAAGTTTGGTGCTAAGCCACTTCAACTACTGTGACCTTATATATGGGCCATACTTATATGATTCGGACAAAAAAATAATACAATGCGGAATTTGTAAGTATGATTACATATCTGAAGCCTAAAAAATCTCCCCCTGGCTAAATATGAAAAACCGTAAGTTTCACCATTTGGGTTGTTTTGTTCATAAATTGATGACCCTTCCCCATCATACCCTTTTAATACAGAAACTAATTCTGCGTAAATCAATAAATATTAGAGATACAAACAAATTAACTATGCCACGATATTGCACTGCACAGTTTCAATGAGCTTTTCTTTTGGGTGCTGTGAAACTTGCCTGAGTATTTGAAGAGATTCAATATCAGAAAATTCAAATACAAATATAACAATTATATTCTCAGTATTCTCAATGTTTGATTATTGGATAAATCAATAATAAATGAAACAAAAGATCAGTTTGATTTAACAACTCTTTTAGGGGATAATTACCAAATAATATTTTTATTTATTTTTTTCTTGTTATGGTACCATATTTTTTTTTATTTATTTATGTTCACGTTTATTATAAGAGGTGGTTGAGTTTGAGTAACTCTGAGCTAGACTTTGCCAATGAGTACCAGAATCTCCTGTAACTTTTTTCTCTTTGTATTTCTTTGTATTTTCAATACCGCCGACTTATTATTTCCTTTTTATCCCCCATTATATGAATCTCTTGTAGCAATTGCTTGATGACGTCTCAAGTTTTCGTAGGCTGATGAGGACCTCCACAACAGAAACATTCTAGACTGAGAAGGGAGGAAGAGAAGAAGGAAATGGTTATTATGAATAAATGAATGGGTTCAATAATAATGATAATAATGAATACATAATACAAACCATGTTTGAAACTGCCTTCTACGTGCATCATGTCGACCATAATCTGCTTAGTGGGGCTGACGTAGAAAACTTCTTGCTTGGTAGCCTCTGGAGGGAACTTGTTCTCCCATACTCCTTTGAAGTAAGCCGCGTTGACTAGTACGAGGTTAGTACTTTGATCGATGGTTCCAGGAGGAAGCAAGTCTTTGATCATATGGTGGGTCGTGTTTTCGACCCAATTGTTTATGTATAATCTTGCACCTTCGGGATTGGTTTTGAAGGACCTTCTCTCGAGTTCGTCGGGGAAATCATTGGCAACGCAGTCTCTGATAGGGACTTCCTCTTCGACGTATATTTTGTTGGCATTCGTGAACTCATATGGGGCGCTCTTTGCCAGCACTTGCGTCATTATCCGGTCCAGTTTGTAGGCGGCGTAGTTATCTGATTTTTCCTGAAAATTATAATTATATTGTAACCATCACTCTATTTTCAAAAGATTATGCAGGGTGTCCTAACGGTGTGTATTGGATTGACATATATGAGAAAGAGTGTAATATGAAAGTTATTTGATACCAGCAGCAAAGTGTGCTTCGTTTTCCGTGATAGCATAAAAGTGTATTCCATTTTCCTCTCATATTCAGTACATTTTTTTCTCTATGCGCCATGGAAGAGTTATTATATAATTCGGATAATTAGGAAGTAATGCAGGTTATATGAATTCCTATCGTCGGTTTTAATGTGATCGTTTTTATTCGGTGTATTCAGTGCTATCAGTGTTTGTTTCTTATCTTACATTTGAAATTCTAATACTGTAGTTGCGAATACTATTGGAATTATAAAAAAAGTTTGTATGAAAATAAAAATGTTTAGAACTTATTCAGAATTACTGATCATTGACCCCTAAGAAAACTCGTACCTACATGTAAAAATATGGTACGGCCATCGATAATGATAAATACAGTCTACTGTTATTTATTTCCTAGATCTGAAGTTATGAAAACGTTCATGTTTTGAGGAAGGCAATGTTTACACCCCTTACACCTGAACCAACCAAATTTTGCACCTAACATAAGGTCTTCCAACAGGAACTTCCGAACTTTGACAATTGATAACGGCCATCTTGTTGAAGCTACATCTGTCAAATTAGTTGTCATTTATTCAGCCGGTCGCCATAATCGTTCTACCAAGAAGCATATTCGCAATGTGAAGAGTATCTGTGAGCGTGTGCAGAAGAATCCGAAGCCGTCGATTTCCCGTCGCTCACAAGAACTCGGCCTTCCGCAGACCACACTTGACGGATTTCGCGTCGTGACTTGGGCCTGCACCCTTACAAAATTCAACTGACCCCGGAATTGAAGGTAGGTGAGCATAGACAACGACGGATGTTAGCTGAATGAGCTCTGGACCAGTTGGCAACTGACCCTTGTTCTCATCGAAAAATTATCTTCGGCGATGAGGCCCATTTCTGGATGAATGGGTACGTTGAACAAACACCATTCACGAATTTGGGACGATATCAATCTACATGAGTTCCAAGAGCGTCCAAAGCATTCCGAAAATGTCACTGTATGGTGTGGATTTTGAGCTGGCAGCGTCATCGGTCAATATTTTCCTGAGAACGACGTTGGCCAGACCATCAGTATCAATAGGTCGATGATTACCAACTTCTTCTGGCCTGAATTTGATGATCTGGACATCAACGGCATGTGTTTTCAACATGACAGCGGTATGTGCCACACAGCTCAGGCAACATTGGATACTCTGCACGACGATTTGAGGCCATAGTCATTTCACGTGGAGGTGATATGAACTAGCCTACAAGATCATGCGATTTGATCCCGTTAGACTTTTTATTGTGAGATTTTCTCAAGTCGCAGGTGTGTGCCAAAGAGCCCCAAACCACAGAGGTCGTCAAAGCCAACATAACACATGCCATCGGTCAAATTCAGCCTGATTTATGCGACAGAGTCATGGAAAATTGGACCATCCAGAGAAGCCGTGGTACATATTTGAACCATGTTATAATCCACACACAATGGCATCAATAGGTATTTCAAACGACTTAAATGAAATGAGTAAAAACACTTTTGTCGAAATACCACTGGTAGATTTTATTTATACGACCATAAGTGATCATGAATTACCATAAAGTAAACAAGTCATCAATCACACACATTTTTCAAACGAATGAAAAAGTTCGATGATATCTCACATACACTTTGTTTTATTTAAATTTGAAGATGGGTAGCGCTGCTCAAAAGACCCTATATTTTCGATCAGAAAAATATTCACACCTCAGCAAATCTGGAAGTTCCATAAAGATCAAACTAAATCATATTTAGATAGGTATAGGTACTTATTTATAAATGCGAAAGTCACTCACTCATTCATGTCTGGTGTCCTAGGAAGCTAAAATTTGGTAAATATGTAGTTGCTTCCTGGGTCTTAGATGCGCACTAAGAAAGGATTTTCAAATAATTCAACTGAGGTGTCCCTCGCGTGGGTAAAAAGAATTTACAAATGTAGGTTCGTTTTATGTTGTAGATGTGCAAATGAGAAATAGTATTTAAATACTCCAACTGGGGCGCCAGCAGCAGGAAAAAAGGCACGTCCATAAAACAAAATCATCCTTTCATCGATGTTTCTCCATGCACTTGAAATTCCGTTGGGTGAAATTATATATTGTATCAGTATTGTACCCGAAGCGGTTCACTAGTTGACGTATATAGAGCTGGGCGGATTGGCTGTCCTTGGTCATCTTTCACTGCCTGAACCACTGTGCATGCTGTTTTCGGTGAGTGCATTGGGTTGGGATGTGGGTGTTGAGCAAACCCGCCATCGGATGCCTGCTTCCACGTACCCCGCTGGATACGGGAATGACAGAATCACTTGTGATGCTGTTATTTCTTAACTGAATGGCATCCCAACTATGGCTTAATCCTAAGGTGTGTGTATCCGTGCCGAGAGGACGAATGACACTGAGCCTATCTGCTGTCTCTACGGAACCTTCGAGATACCGGGCGCCCTCTCGTCGTCGTCGCCTGGTCACGTTAATGCGGGGCTCTGCCGTGATTGACCTTCTTTCCTTAGCTACTTGTGGGACTTTTATAGACAGAGTAAACTTGAATATTTTTTCTGACGCTGAGTCTATAGAGGAGATGGATGTCGAGTATACGACTCCAACTGACCTTCCTGTAAGTTTAGTTCAGGAGCGAGTCTACAGAGGAGATGGATGCCGAGTTTATGACTCCAAATGACATCCCTGTAAATTTAGTTCAGGAACGAGTCTACAGAGGAGATGGATGTCCAGTTTACGACTCCAACTGACCTCTCTGTAACTTTAGTTCAGGAGCGAGTCTACAGATGAGATGGATGTCGAGTTTACGACTCCAACTAACCTCCCTGTAAATTTAATTCAGGAGCGAGAGCTTCTCAACTCCCCAACTGCTGATCCAACAAATGAACCTTAAAAAAAGGTTTTATGGTGCAGCCAGGAAACGACTGAGTCATCTCCTCAAGAGGGGGGTATTTTAACAAACCGCATTGCACCAAATTCTTGAGTGGCGTACGCAGAATCTGTCTCAGGTGGGGGAATAAACCCTTCATGAGCAGGTTAGCAAACGTTTGCGCTCAAGTGATGATTCACCAAAACTAGAGGCGAAAAAGCCCTGCAAGGCTGAATCTAAGGCATCGTCAGGTGTAGGTGACGTGCAAAAACCCTCATATGGGAAGGTTGTCGTGGGTATCAAGGTGGGAATCTTGCATCTTGACTATACGACTACCTCATTAACAGAACATATATTTTGTGCCTGCCCCGCTGGGGACCGAATCAAGTCTTCAGAGTTCGGTAGAGCTGTACTCTGTACCATCTGACCTGAAAGACCACTCACTATACAAACTAATCGGCTTTGTTAAGAAGCTGGGTTTATTTGGCTGGGTCGAATATACCCACTCACTTTGGACATAACCTAACCTAATCTATATAGAGCTTCGCTCCAAGCATACACTGAGATAGATGGAGGATTCTGTCAATGATTGTTCATTATGGTTATGAGTGTTCCACCGACTCAGTCCGTTTGATTTTCCAGATAGAGGGCATTCCAGAAGTTAGCAGAAGATGTGGCTCCTCTCTTCGAAAATAGTTTTCGAAAGTTATTCCATTTTGGAAAACACCATCTTTGTGGAACAAACACAACTAATTTCTTTAATTATGTTCTGGTTGTCAAAATGACTATTTCATTCTTTCAGTATAACGAAATCAACAAATCATTATCTATAATACTATAACATGATAATCTCAACATGAAAATAATAACCAAAACATTAGAGATATAAATATGTTTATACAAACGAAATAATGATAATGGACTATCTTGAATGTCCACTAAAAATTGCTATCGACTGAGCGATAGACTCAAAATAGATCAATGGTTATAAAATTGTTATTGTTATCCTTGAAAATATTATAACAAATTGAGTCTGTAGTTGTTGATATACTTCTTTGAATTATGTGATGGAGGTGTTTGAAAACAAACCTGGTACTTTCATTCTGCGAAATATATGCTGGAGAAATATGTTGATAAGAAAATTGTGATAACAAAATTGACGTGACGATAATTATATATTTTATTAGATATGCATTTTGTTATAGAATCATGCCGCCTCTTTTAAATTTGAAATTGTTTCTTGATGAATCATGGAATGAATAAAATTCATTGATCAGCCTACTGAAGAATTGCTCAAAAATATTATTAAGAACACAATGAAAACAAGCTCCCGTCATGAATATAACATCTGTGATATCACCTTCCAAATTTAATTTCGGTATCTAGGAGGATCCAAAAATAGTTCCATGGTTTCACACATTTGCCTATCGGTATATTACCCTTGGTGACATACTAGTGCATCACAACAATCCGTACATGTCTTGAAACATCAAACATCATTGTGGAACAAGCTACCACACCATTGGAATATGGTGAAAAAACTCTAAAACAGTTCAGAACATTGAGAGTATTCCCATTCCTTGAAGAAGGTTTCCATTCTTACTTGAGAGAGGTGTTAGAAATCACACGTTAAAAGAGGTAGGACCCCGCTAATCCTTAGCTCGCACAAGTTCCGACTTCTGAGGGTTGTCGTTATTAGGGGTGCGACAGCTGGTTAACGGTGGTTGACGGTGATGAGCCTGGAATTTTATCGTCTAGTGGATAAGATGTTAAGTCCAGAATATTCGAAAATGTTCGGATTCCAGAAGATTCCGTCGTGTCCGTCTTCATATTTCAACCAATTCACACAAAACATTAAAATATCACACACATGAAACCGTACCTATATAAAATATTGAGTCCACACTGATAATTTATGATTTTTGAAGTGATAACTTCTTATGGGAGGGTAAACCGCTTCGTTACCTAACGCGTAACGTCGCCAGTTCATCTGACCCCTTTCTCT